AGGAGAGAGAACTAGAGCAGAAGAATAATTAGGTGGAGTCCCCGGCTAGAAGAGCTGCCAGTGCATCCTCACTGTCATCATCGTCTTCACTGCTACTGCCACTGTTCACATGTGGCTCCGAGTTCGAGTGAGGAGAATTCGAACAGCTCGAGTCCTCCACCTCCACGCGTTTCCTCTTTCGACCTTCCGACTGACCCGTCCCCTCTCCTGCCACACCCTCCGCCATTGATTGCTCCTGGGAGTCAGGGACCTCCTCAAATGATCGCTCCATCGCGCTCCCCATCCCTCCATCCTCCCCCTCACTGCTGCTGCTACTGCTGGCCATCATCTCCGCATCAACCTCGGCCTCCATTCGCTCAAGTTCCTCGTCCGAAACTGATATTCTCGAGTCACGTCTACTGCTGCTCGCCGTCCGAGTTGTACCACTACTGGAGGCCTCAATAGTCCCCTCCAAGAGAACTGCTTGGCTGTTTGAAGGCGTTTTCTTAACCGCTAGCTCAGTCTTAGCGGACACTTTCATCTCTTTCTCGCCCTCATTTCTCTCTCTAAGAGGTTCCTTCTTCCCCCCTCCACCTCCTCCATCTTCTGCCGTTTCGACGTGAAACAGCCGCTCGTCCAGCCACTTCCACTGCTCTGCACAGCTCCAAAGCCAACGAGGGTTCACAAGTTTCACTCCCGCCACCCTCCTCGCTTCCTTCAGCTTTGCCGTCCCCGACTTCCCCGCGATGACGTGCGTCGTCGCCCTCATAGCTGCCCGAGGTCGCGTACTCTCGAGCCCCGGGACCAACTTTTCGTGAACGACGGCGCCAAACGCTCGAGCAGTGTTCCAAATGGGGCTCCGTTGCGGCGGGATATTGGTAGGGATCACCCCGGTGAATAGGATTTTGGCGCCGCGCAGGAGAGACTGGCGCATCTCGGGGATGATTTTCTTGAGATCTGGAGTGGGAATATCTTCGGTCATGGCCGCGAGATCGCGATCCCCGAGCATCTCTGTGAACTGAGAGTAAAACGTGGAGTGGAGTCTCTCCAGAACGTCTGCCAGGTACAGCAGGAAACAATCGCTGTCCTCGATCTTCTTGACCGTTTGTTTCTTGTCCCTGCCTTCAGATGGGGTGGAGTCACGCTGTTTACACGTTGACTGAGTTTCCGTCTCTTTAATTTGTGACTCTGAAAAGAAAAAGAAAAAACTCAATAGCAAAAGTAAGTGAAGAATCGCGTGGCAATTCAACTTTGTTCACTTGACCTTTACGAGGGTGTGTGTTTGCAAACAATAATGGTAGCAATGGTCTAACGAACTAGTGATGGTGGTAACACCCACCTTTCGTGTCGTCTCCAGTTGAGCCAGTCAGTGGGGTAGACAGTGTCTCCTCCCTCGAATCAGGAGCCACATCTCCCTCCTGCGTGGGCCGCGAGGTGCTCTCCTGTGTCGGCTGAGAGTCTTCCATGGCACTGCTGCTTCCACTACTGCTGCTGTCTTCGCTCTCACTGCTGGACCCCGAGCTGGATGAACTCTCCCTCTCCCTCTCCCTCCCTCCTCCTCCATTCTCCACCCCCTCGCTCCCCGCCCCCACTTCTCCTCCCCCCTCCTCATCCCCACTTCCCCCAGACTCCCCGCCTGACTCCACCCCCTCTTCACCATTGTTGTTGTTACCGTTGTTATTGAGACCGGCAGCCCCACCAACGCCATCACTTTCATTTTCAAGACGACATTTTTCGGGATCTCTCCCGCCCCCTCGCTCTCCAGACACAGAAGCACCAGGCGATACTGAAACGCTATTCCTCAGTTTAAAGTCACCCGAAGGTTCTTCCTTTTGGGATTTCTTGGTGGGTATTGTGGTTTCTTTGTTGATGTGTCGAAGCTTCAAAGTTGTTCCTCCATTTCTATCTGCAGTGATGCCGTGAGCTGCGAGGTTTGATGGCGGCTGAGGTCGCCGTGCGATGTGCCTCATCTTAAACGGGCGTGGCTGGTCCTGCGGAACGACCCCGCCCTCCCGTCCGGCACCGACAAAGAACGGTCTTGGTGTGGTGGGTGTGGCCGGGAGAGAGGAGGGAGGGGAGGAGGTGGGGACGAGGGGAGGGGGAGCGTTGATGTCGCTTGTTCCGGAGAAAAAGACGTAGGGTTTCACGTGGACGAGGTTTGGACATCTTCCCCACACGTCCTCCCGGTCGTCAATGATGGCCACCATCGAGTCTCCACAGGGGAACACTGACCTGGTGCCGGCACAGGGAGAGGAGGATGGAGAGACAGAGAACCAACATTTACACAGTCAGTGGTAGACAGAATGAACGTATCACATGCACACACACTTAAACAACAAACAGCACAGTAGATTTCTTCAGTGGTGGTGGCATTTTTGCATTTAGACGTAGGACTAAACTTGCCATTATTCAACGCTTGTATTAGAACCCGTTTTATGACCGAAAATGTGCACAGATATGTACAACTGCCTTGAAGCCACTTCCCTATCGTGTACGTAGCTCTAGACAACTTCCTACAACAGGCATATTATAAGTACAGGCATACACACATGTCCATACTTGAATCTGAGGGCCTTGGATCTGGGGTCAAAGAACTCGTCTCTCGTGATGATTCTGTCACAGAACAGGTGTCTCTCAGGGTCCAGTATGTCAATGACAGCCGCGGCGTAGTCCTTGGTTGCCATGGTGAACACGTGGAGCTCGTAGAGTTTGGAGACTCTCTCCAGGAACTCGCGGACGTGGGGGCGAAGTCGGCAGTGGTAGACGATGGGCTGGCCTCCCAGACGAAATCCGTACACGTCCTGTGATGGGGAGTGGGGAGGGAGTGGGAGGGAGGGAGGAGAGGGAGAAGAGGACATGGAGGAAACGAGAGGTGAGAGGGGAAGGGGGGAGAAAGAAAGCAAGATGAGCCAAAAAGTTACATTTGACGCCGACTTCCTAAAATACACGCTTCAAAGCACCAAAAGTCAGACATATACTTTCAAAAGTAACCCTATACATTACGTCACGACAGACACTCAAAACTGTAACTCTAAAAGTCTAGAAAGACTTTAAAAATATCTCAAAAGGCAACACACATGGAACAAACACACCCTGTGAGGGGTACGTATGTGTGTATATAATTATACTCACAGGGAGTCCAGGCTCTATGTGAGGGTCAGTGGAGGTATGGATGAGCGTTTGGTCCAAGTCCACCACTAGAGTCAGTTTCTGAGTCTTCAACAGCCTCAGCTTGTCCTTGTGCGCCAGCACTTCTGCCTCCTGCACAGGGAACCATACCAACATTATACTATACAGTAGCTAGAGGTTAATAAAGGCAAGGAAGGAAATTACTACAGTAATGTCTGGGGGGTCCTCAATACAGTGTGGCGTGTGCTAGGTGTAGCATAAAGCCTGGTTCACAATACGACACTAGCTTTCGTTCCGTCTCCATCCTCCCTCCGTTACATCGTTTTTTCGATCGTTGCGCTGTTCACAAATTGATGATATGGCAGTAGCTGACGAAACGAAATGAGATAAAAAGTCCACCGTCGTATTTATGAACCAGGATAAACGGTGCCATCCGCCTTTTGCACACCTAACACGTGCACTCCACATTAGCTATGTATATACAGTACTTAGTACTGTATAGTATGTACACCTTCACACTATAGTACTAGTGTGAAAGTGTACATACTATACAGTACTAAGTACTGTATAGTATGTACACTTTCACAACTAGTACTATAGTGTGAAAGTGTACATACTATACAGTACTTAGTACTGTATAGTATGTGTACTATAGTGTGAAAGTGTACTGTATAGTATGTACACTTTCACACTATAGTACTAGTGTGAAAGTGTACATACTATTATATTATTGTGTACCTGCTGACTAATCTTTATCCCAGCATTGTCATGTATGGCCATGATGCTGGCAGCCACTGGCAGAGATGAGGACCCACCAACTGACATCGGCTTACTGCACAACAACAACATACATACACTTCAGTCGTCAGTGTCAGGTTTAATATATACACACCACGAAAAGATATATGTTCAAGCGGTGAAAATGGTGAATTGCTAACTTCTGACATAAAAGAAAGAAAACAAGTCAACTATTACATGGAAAGCTCTCAAAAGTGAAGATATTCAAAGAGCTTTATCCTTTTCTTGCCATACAGCAGTAATGTGTACATACATGATGTAATGCTGATTGTGGTGGTTAGCTCACTTTCTGAGGTTGAGGCCACAGTCGGCACACATGTCAAAGACGACAATGTCGTGTTGACACTTCTTTTCCACTTTCACCATCACCCTTCTGAGGGGGCGACATGGTGTGTGTGTGTGTGTGTGTGTGCGTGTGGCAAGCATTTTTTCACGCCATAATATATGCAATACTTTCGGGGGCGGGGGGATAATTATAAATGTAAACCTATGTATTTACACACACACAAGTGTCAGAAGACCCGAAACAACTTTCAGTTTTATCCATTTGCGGTACTATTAAAGGCATACACATAAACACAATGGTGGAAAAACAGTTTGGGGTTTCGTTGCGCTAAGTCTTTTGTCGCCTCTCCGGTAACTAGTTTCATGTTTTTTGAAGGCTTTAGATCGAGTGTTTTTTCACAACCATCTTGTGGATATACGAAATCTGTATGAATATAAATCCAAATGCAGCCTAATCCATCGGTGTTTTGTACAGGTGTTCAAATGATGTGTTTCTTGGTTTCGCTGTGCAAATGTTCTTACCCTGGCTGGACAATGTCTCCGGGACTGAAAAGTAGCTCCTTCACAACCCCCACCACCCCACTCTTCACCTGCAGCGTCGTTGTCTCTTTCCCTCCTCTACCTTCTCCCTCCCCTCCTCCCCCTCCTCCGCCCGCCACACCCACACTCTGGACGCAGGAACAGAGCAACGAGCCTTTGCACACCTTGCTCCCGACACCCACCACCCAGCTGCTCAGTCGACACGGAAAATGGAACGGTAGCGTAGTTTCGCAGATAGGTACCTCTTCGGACATATCTCCTCTCAACTCCGTTTTTGAAAGCCTCTGTAACGGTACAACCACTCCCTCTTCATGCAGACCACGTCTACGGTGTGTACACTATTGACTATTTTGACAAGTGATGTTCCTTTCAATTATCAGTTGCAATAAACATCACTTACAAAAGCCCCGCCTGCGAGTGCACGAGGGAGGAGGAATGGGCGCTGGAAAGTCAGATTTGGCACAGAAAATCAGCTCGGCGAAGCCCCTTCGGACGCAAACGCCGCCATTTTTCTGCAGTTTTAGAGTTCAAAGTTCACGCACCCGCGGAAGGTATGGCTGCCCGCGTCTTCTCGTCCTCCTGCCGCAGAGCTGGTAGCTTGTGGAGGACTGTAGCAACCGTCAGAAACTCACACAGCCACAGCACACACCTGAAGAGTGAGTGCGCGTGTTTTTTTCCAACCGATACTCTCGTTACTCTAATTGGTGCGCACCCTGCGTGTTTGCAGCGGCACCGTTGCAGAGATGGCCGACTGCCGCGGGTCGCTGCCGGCGCTGGACCTCCTCCGGTGTCTCTGACACTAACCTTGGTTGGTGGCACTGCTACTTCGTTTGCTCTTACAGCTGCAAATGGAATCTAGCTATTGCTCTAACTCCCTCCCTCATCTCCCTCTGCATTCCTCATGATCCCTCTCCCTCTGTCCCTGTAGCTGTTAATGCATTGTTGGACAGTAACAGAAGTAACCTGATGGAGTTTGGCCGCTATGTTCAAGAGATGCTCCCCAAATATATACAGCAGACCCAAATCACGTACAGGTACATGTTACCAAAGACAGTATATGCCATTTTTACCAATGTATAATATACTAGCATCTGTAACCTCTAAACTTTGCACTGTGAACGGTTAGTCAATAGTTCCTTTTAAATTCACTATATTCTATTAGCGAGTTGAAGTGCTCTATTATAGCTAATACATCCGTCTATTACAGCAATGAGTTGGAGATTCTAATACATCCCGATGGAGTCATTCCCGTCCTCACGTTCCTGAGAGACCACCAGAATGCCCAGTACACCTCGTTGGTGGACATCACTGCAGTCGACGTACCAAAGAGAGTCTTCAGATTTGAGGTGTATATATACCCCAGCCGTGATGTGTGTTCGGTGCATTTTGAAAGTTTGAGGTCGTGGTTGTTTGGGGCAGCGTTTCATGGGGTCTATGGTTGAAAAACGTAGGAAATGTTACAGCTCGCCTGTCAAAATTTCTTCCCTTTTTCACGAAAACATGAGCCAATCTTGAGGGCTGAGGCTCTATGAATTGTTCACGTGTGAGAACTATTTTATAAGCCTCAAACCTCATAATTTGTGCTCCCTAAAAAATTTACTACGGTTCAATTTTAAGATTCCAAGATTGACTTGTGTTCACGTGCAGGTGGTGTACAACCTGCTGAGTGTGGTGTATAATGTCAGAGTGAGGGTGAAGACGTACGCAGACGAGCTGACACCCATCGACTCCGCCACGGCCGTCTTCTCCTCTGCCAACTGGCTGGAGAGAGAGGTGTACATGCACACACACATACACACTGTCTCTCCTCTCACAGGTTGAACAAAACCACCACACTTGAATTGCTCCCTGAAAAACAGCATTGCTAATTCCTATCCAGAGCGTTCAATTAGAAGTCAATTCAGTGAATGTGCTGGTACATTCATGTGCACCAACTTTTTTTAAACTCACTTTGTCAAGACATATACCCTAGATATTTTCCCAAAATCTCTGCAGCTAGCAGTCACAAACCACAATGCAAGCTGTAGATCTATGCAGTGGCCTACCAATGATGTGATACATACAGGTGTGGGACATGTACGGCGTGTTCTTCTCCAACCATCCCGACCTCCGTCGTATCCTGACTGACTATGGATTCGAGGGCCACCCCATGAGGAAAGACTTCCCTCTCAGTGGCTACGTTGAGGTGCTCTTTTCTTCACCATAATTATACTGCATGCTCTTTGTATTATCTGTGTGCCTCAGTGTGTTGAGTCTAACATCTGTTCTGCCTTACTTTTTATGTATGTAGCTCAAGAGGATCAACTATAAGGAAGTTCATATATTACAGCCTGTTCCTGCCAAGGCAGCGTTTCATAACCCGTAAAGTCACTCTCTTCAGGCCTTTTCTGGTGAAATCCGGGGTGCACTTGTAGTTCAGGCAGACTTTTATCCTCTAATGCAACAGACCTAATTACCATACCTCCACTCTAAATAGTGCACACACACACAGGTGAGATATGATGACGAAGCCAAGAGAGTGGTCTGTGAACCACTGGAGATGACTCAGGAGTACCGCAAGTTTGAGCTCTCGTCGCCGTGGGAACAGTTCCCTCTCCACCGGGCGGCCGAGGCCCTCCCAGCTCCCAGCTCTGCCGACACAACTGACAACCCAAAGTAGCCAATAACGGGACATAGTTCATCATTATGTATAGTTGGAGAGAGGTGTATTATTTTATGTTGAGTGTGTCACTGAAACTTGTGTACATGGGGGATTGCATGAAAAGGAACAGTCACTGCGAGAACCAACGATGGGACTTGGTCCGTGCAGTTTCATTGACATTGCGAGAAAAATGTATATACTCAATAATGTTGACAATTAAACTGGTGTGATGAGTGAGAGACATTACATGGAGAAAGCTATGTACATACAATGTACTGAGGATATTAGTGACTTATCCTCCATTACGTCCTCAATTCTTCACCAGCCACTGCCTCTCCTGTCCCTCCATTCCCTCCCTCTTCAAGCTCCACTTCTCCCTTTTTCTCTTCGACCCCGCTTTCTACGTCTCCCTCCTCTTTCCCGCCCCCTCCCTCCCCTCCCCTCCCCTCCTCACTGTCACAGTCTCTCCTGCCACTGACCGAGGCGAGGCACATGGTCTGAGGTGGTTCATGACCCAGCATGGCCAGATAGTGGCATCTGTACTTCTTGTCAACGTACAGTCTGACTGACTTGCGAGCCACCCACCCCGACAGGTAGATTGGGTGGTCGTACAATGTCCTATGAGAGAGTGGGAAGAGAGTTAGAAATTACTACGTATGTGAATGCAACAGTTTTCGCAATGAGTTATGTATGTAAATATACTTGCACGGAAGTGTCCCTACTATAGCTATATAAATGGCTGTACATACAACCATCATAGCCCCATACATCTATGATGCTAGGTACCATGCCCATCCCTATAGTATTACCGTACTTAGTGATAAGATGGACTGCAGAATGTTACACACCTAGTGTCTTCCTTGGAGCGGTCGGGAGTATACTCAAACAGAGCAGGACCCACCCCTGCAGGTATATAAAGACAGTGCACCATACAGTGTGGCATAACTTTGATCTACTCATGCAAAGTGATAAAAAAGTTTCAGGCCTATCCTAAATTTTTGACCTTGCCCAAAAAATATTTAGGATGCACTCCCTGTAAGGTTTCCCTCCAGAGTTTGGACACTAACACAGCAGACCTAATTTACATGTTCCGTCTTTAAAGAATGTTCGGCTTACCCAGAATGAATGGATTAGCTGGCTCACCCATGTGGCTGAGGGTCTCCTGAGTGGGCGGGGCCAGACCGGTGGAGAGGGGGTTTGGTTCTCTCAGAACCAGAAGCAGATCGTCCAGAGTGAGGGAGAGTCTGTTGGCAGAGATGAACGGAACTAGACTCTCGATTCCCTGCCATGAACAACACAACACAACACACACAGAGTCACTAGTACATAGCGTGTGAGTGAAGCGGGGTCTACAGCTCACCTCCTGACATATCCTGAAGGGACAGGAGGCGGTGCGGTTGTCACACCTGGCGAGCACCTTCACCCCCACATTGATGAACTGGGACACAATACAGACACTTTTCTCCCACATGGCATCAACTTATCAAATGACATTGGTGGTCATTGGTTAAACAAGGTTTAAAATTTATTACTATGTTGCTCGGACGTGTACCATTCAAACCTCACAAAACCATCAAAAGGTGTCTCATAATAATATACCCTTAAAATTGGCAATTCCAAGTATGTACGATGGTCAAGGGCACTCTATGCACAAATAATGGATCTATAATATACAGATCATGTTACTATTGGGCATGATATATATTCCAGCTGACCTTCACGTGCAGTTCGTTTCTCTGCAACAGTTCCTTCACCAGTCTAGAGGTGAGATAGACGTTCCTCTTTTTCCCGGCCACGCTACGGGTCAGTAGCTGGGAGCTGGGAAACGCGTCCCCCAGTCCATAGTATGACCTAAAAACAGACAAAGGCAGCACAATAACATACGAGTATGGTGTATAAGTTTAAAACGTGTCGCAAATGCAATGAGCGTAACGTGCCACGAGTGAGATAGATAGAATCAATTTCTTCCTCGCGACACGAGATTGAGGTCCAGCATGTCATCTAGTCTCACGTACTTTACTCTAGTGCAACGTCTGAACTCTTCTATAAAGCAGTGGAATCTTTGAAAATACAACTTTTAGTGTTTTTCACGGCCGAAGAAGCTTTGGGTAAGTTATCAGTACTACCATCGATACAGTAATTGTTGAGCCAATCGAGCCTACCTAGTCATCCAAAAATCATGCGCAAAATTCAGATACAAATTTACCAATTTGGAGACTTACTGAATGAGTTGTAAGACTGGGCTATCGTCGGTGAGAAAGACGTAAGGATCCTCTCGGTACACTCGCCCCTTCTTCCCGTGTCTGTGACCTGGTCTGACGCCGGCGTGCATGTAACAACAGGAGACAGGGAATGAATGGTTTGCACTCTGCAGTTGTACAGGTCAATGGGGCAGTACATAAGGGCTAAATTTAGAAATGTTACAATAGGGGGCCAGTGCAAAATTGAAAGTTTCTGGTCAAGTCACAAAACTTATGTAGCTCTTATTATACTGCCACATTCCATTTAAACAAAAAGAGGGGCCCCTCCCTGTGTTAGTGGTATACCTGCCGAGTATTGCAGTCCCTGGTCTACTGGTAGTACCGCCCCCTTCTCCGTCATTGTCTGCCGCTTTCTCTCCGGCTCCTTCTCCTCTTTCCTTTTCATCTTCGCTGGCTGTCAGACCGCTCGGTCTGCCCTCCCCTCTTTCTTTCTCTCCATCTCCTCCCTTCTCCCCAGTAAGAACCCTGCGTCTCTCTCCTCCCTCTTCTCCTCCCTCTTCTTCTCCTCCCTTTTCCTCTTCGTTGCCCACCAGAACACTAGGTTCGCCGTTCTCCTCTCCACATCCCTCTCCCTCCTTCCCTCCAGTTTCGTCCATTAAAACGCTGGGCTTCTCTCTCTCCTCTCCACCCCTCCCACCTCCCTCCTCACCTTCCAAAACGCTAGGTCTGGGAGCCGTCTCCTCACAGCTGCTGCTGGTAGCAGTGGCACCCTCGGAGTCTCTCGGTCTTCTCTGCCAGGGGAGCCAGTCTGACTTACAGAGGACGGCAATAAAGAAACCGCCTGTGTCTTGATGGTGTGGCAGCACACGTACACTGGAGACAAGAGAGTCGCTTTACTCTATGCAGAGACACGTACTCGCATACATAGGACGTACGTACATCTCAACAAGCACAAAACAGGAATGTGCCCGCGCTTCGCACTCGGCGTTTGTAAATGGCTAGGGTTAACTTAAAGTGAACGTGAGGCGAGGTAGGGAAGAGATACATAGGGACAGCGAGAAAGGGCGGCTATGGGATAAGGATAGCTCGTAGCTCGAGATTAAGGTGAAATAGAGAATAGGAACCCGAGATGAGGATAGTTAAGTACCATACTATAATATTATAATATATACCTACCATCTGTGTAGATTGAGCTGAGGCAAGAGGCTTGGGTCAGGAGGGAAGAGAGTGGAGGAGGAAGGCTTGGTATCTGACACCCACTCCATCTTCTTCTTCATCACCTACAGTATATAATACAAACACACAAAAGTAAAAGTACTACATATTCATGTACTCACCACAGATACACTAGTTGGCAGGAAATCAAGCCTACCTAGTCATCCAACACAAAACTCAGATGACTATATTATAGCTATGTACAGCTATGTAGGCTTTGCTCCCAAATAAGGATGTATGTATGTAGGTTTTGTAAAACACACCTTCCATGATGTCATCCCAGGAATGGTCCGGAGACCAGGCAGTTGGTCGCTCACATCCACCAACTCCACTGCACCTGAGTCAAAAAAAAACAGAATCAAGGGAGGGATGCAACAATGGAAGATACGACTAGATGTATATAAAAAGAGGGAAAAAGAAGAAAAGGAGAGAAGGCAAGTAAGAATGAAAAAAAGCAGAGAGATACAAAAGAGGGGTAAAAGTGAAAAACGTGGCAGAGAGATGGAAAATGGGAGAGAGACAGTAAAGAAAGAAAGATTGGAGAGGAGATGACGAGAGACACACCTCTACAGAGCTGTAAGATGGTTGCGAGGACGGCTTCGTTCTCGACCGGGTTCAGGGAGCAGGTGGAGTACACCAGTCGTCCTCCGGGCTGCAGCAGCTCCAGGCCTCGGTTCAGAATACGCAGTTGCAACCTGGACACCGCGGGAGATATCGACGGTCGTTTATTTCCCCGGTGAAAAAACACACAGAAACACTACAGTGTAACCCGGCTCTCTCTCTCTCTAAGGACACCCCGAAAATCAAGACTCTTCTCTAGCCTTACTTCAAAACTTAACCCACAATATTTTATTGTTGTCCCATTAGTCACTAAATACTTACCTGTGTAGACCAGCTCCAAGTGCGGGGTTCCACGAACGCCATATCGTGGGGTTCTTTCTGAGCGTCCCGTCTCCACTGTCAGGGATACAACATGAATTTAGGCCCACTATTGTACTTTTTGCCATAGCTATATATTTTGTAGGTTAAGCCGATCACAAAAACCATTCCTATTTCTAGTACAGCTTACATTAGGAACCTATGTATTGTACATACCCATATTTTGTAAGAAAAACGGTAGCTATTTTTGATCTCTAGCTCTTGAAAGACACACGAAAATTGGCAACACTTCTAATTCTTTTCGGACAGAATGTACACTATAATAACAGACCTACGAACCTGCAAGGAACGTCACAGAGAACGCGGTCATAGTAGAGCGGGCATCTGACATCATGCTCCTGTTGTGAATTGATATTAAACCTTGTTTCAGGCGATACAGAACTCGGCAATAAGACCCACTATTATGGGATACAACATACGTCGTGATGGTAGAGCACGGGAAAGACGGAGGCGTCGTGGTTTGTGACCATGAAACAAGGGCTCTTGAGTCGCTTTGCCTGGTGTACCAGCATGTAGCATCTCTTGTTGTCCGCATCGTTGGCCACCACCACTCCGGCTGCGGGGGTCAGTAAGACAAAGATGGGGAGTGTGTTTTGAGTACAGTTTAGAATCCCCGAGGGCCGCTCAATGAATGAATTACAGGGTAATGGTGAAGGGGTTCTCTCATCGTTGGCGTGGATCATCTCAATCAGCTGAGCCGTCTTGGAACCGGGAGCAGCACACATGTCCAGCACCTGAAACAGAGTCACAGTTGAAGTATCTTATGGGTATAGGTGTGACCCTGTGGAGAACACACTTTCAGTAACACGATTTGCGACATGAAATTCTGTTCTGGGTTTTTCAAAAATATTGGCAGTCATTGAGGTCATAAAGAATATTTGGTAAGTTTCTTTTTCATTGCCTGCTGTACACTGTTCCATTGAAAAAAAATTTGCAGATTTCAATTTGGCACCAAATTATTCTTTTGTGTGTGTACCTTGTGGTGTGGGAGGACATCGAGGACTAGTGGAGGAATCATGCTAACAGCCTCCTGTCGACTTATGTTCCCCTGATCAGGGAGAGAGAGAGAAGAGAGAGAGAGTAAAAATCAGCGCTGTAAGTATCACACCTGGTCGCTCTCATCGACGAGGAAGCGATGAAACTTGGAAACGTCTGGAGACTTCCGAATGAAGGCTTTAGACAGAGGTACATACCAGGCCAGCTGGTCAGGGTACCTACATACCAACAAACACACACAACATCTCTCTCTCTCTCTCTCTCTTCCATCTCCTGCAGCAATCTAACTTTCCAAGCTCAACAAAATGAACGTGACGGACTGCACTTTTCAGATAACTAAGTGGGACCATTTCACAAGCCAATAGTAACACACCATGGTAGTGGAGTGGGTGGAGCTAACTCCTCCCCCTGCCCCCCAGCGCCCTGCAGGGCCTTGCTCAGCTCCAGGAAGAAGGTCTGCTGGAGACACTCTCTGACTGCAGTGGCCACGTGGCGGGTGCCCGTGATTCTGAACGTGGAGGGCAGCGGCTGTCTGAGGATGGACATAAACTGGTCCCATTCCTGTTCCGGAATCAGTTCCTGACCCTGGGGGTTAGGGCGGGGATAGAGGGAGGGAAGGAAGAGCTGAAGATCATTACAAATGTGACACAAACAGTGCAGACATATGGGAGGAGAAATTTGTTCTTGAGAGAGAGAAAAAAAGAGAGACAAAACGAGTGACAGACGAATAGAGGGAGGGAAGAGTGGATGAACATTGAAGATGCAAGAGAAACAACGGAAGACGGCACGGGGGAGCCTGGGAGCAATGGAAACATGGGAGGAAGATAATGTCTTGTCCTCGATAGGAAGAGAAAAGGTGAGAGAAAGCCACAAAGAGCAGTTTCTGGCACACCTGGTAATACTTAACAAAGCGATCGTTTTCCTTGACGATAGGGGTGTACCCTGCTCCTCTCACTCCAGGTTCCCCACCGGAACCCTCGCTATGGTCGTTTGTCTTCTGTAGGAAAAACAAACAGACAGCCAGACACACAGCTAAACAGTTTATATAATCCAGGGGGTATATATATATACACACAGACTGAAGTACTTTGTTCCTGCGCTGCCAGGCTCCCTCGCGCCGTCTTCTCTTGGGCATGTCGACAACGTATCTCCCTCGCAGAGTCCGACGATAAGCGAAAAAACACGTGGATAAACTTCGACCTCACACATACGCGCATGCGCAGTTCTTTTCATGCGAAAGTTGTACGTGTAATGCCCCAAAACATTGTAGAGTAATTATCGTGTTTCCATCATTGTAAATTTGTCACAACTAGTGTAAACAGTCTCGGCATGCAGTAACAAGTCGTGGGTTGGGCTCCGAATCACAGTAGTTACAACCTACTTACAAGGCCAAATATGATTTGGGTATGCTACAATCCATAGGCAAACAATGCTCCACTGCATAAAGTAATGCTTCACTTGTATTCAATCGTGTACATTGCGTTGGAAAGGAAGACAGTAGTGGCAGTGATGGGACTGGCACGTCTGTGCACCCACACAAATCTATGTTAATCAGGTAAACTGCCCACGCCATTCACAAGCCCACACAAACTTCCAAACTGAGCAGCAAGAGGCTTCTGGAGTCTTCGTTGTAGCCAACTGTTGCTATATAAGACACGACCCTTCAAATCTTTCAGTTCAACCAAAACTGAACGGCTTGCACAAAAGCTCACTCAGAGAGTGTTAAAAGTTGTGATTATGAGAGAAAGTTTGAGAGTGCTTCTGGTTGTAGTGGTGGTAGCAGTGGCTAAAGGAGACCACAGGAGAGCTGCCGACCGAACCATAATCCCAGGAGAGGCAGGATACGATGTGGTAGTGGCTACTGTTGACCTGCTGAGGGAGCTGGACATCTTCCCGTACAATAACAGACTCCTGAGGAGGATTGCGTATGCCGAGACCAGAGACGGTGTCGACTTTGCCACCTACCGTCCGGGCTACGATGGAGGGATCTGGCAGGTCGACGAAATGATATTCCTCCAGACTCAGAACGTGACGCTCTACCCCGACCTGGCACCACTGTTGGAGAGGATCCGACAGGTTACAGGTCAGGACTGGGGCACTCTCCCGTGGAACGCGTTGAGGCGACCGTTTTTCTCTGGCATGGCTGCGAGTCTCTACCTGGCTGTACTGCCAGTGGAGATACCGGGACCGGGGGATGTGGCTGGACAGGCTGGTCTCTGGAAAGAGTTCTATAACTCTGATCCTCGTGACTCCGAAGAGACCTTCATCGATGCAGTGGAGGAATTTGAATCTGAAGGTAATGCATCAACCATTACTCTTTCTCTTTCATTCCCAAGTAATGCTAAGGTGTACACACGTGTGTTATTTCCTACTAGCTACAAACCCAGCCTGTTTACCCTAGACAATGCAGCAGTATTGTATATACATTGCAGGAATAACTACTGCGTGTACAACTGCAGTTGTTTTACCAACCATTATCGTGCCGTGTAGTAAACAATACACATGGTAGAGGATACCTCATCACGCACCATTCACTAATTCCATTTACCATTGCGTGACAGAGTGTCCTGTGCGTGGACTGGACCTGGTGTTTGTGTTTGACTCCTCGGGCAGCGTTGGAAGTTTCAATTTCACAATGGAGAAAGAATTCGCCATCAACATTACCAGCGTCTTTAGCATTGGTCCTGACGCCACACAAATCGGTGCGGTGGCATTCAGCGGTCTCACCTACCATACCATACTCCTTGACTCACTAACATCCAGTAAAGAAGTCACAGAAGGCCTGGACGCAATACCTTACAATGACATCAAGATTGGGAAAGTCAGCACTAACACCTCGGGGGCTCTTCTAACAGTCCGTGCGAGTGTATTCACAGATAGTGGTGGAGCTAGGCCTCCCACATCTGGATTCCCCAGAGTCCTGATACTTATTACTGACGGGAGGTCAAACATAGATGAAGAACTGACGGTTCCCTCGGCACGGGCACTGGATCGTGATGGAGTCGTCGTCTTTGCTGTTGGGATCGGGAAGAGGAGGATAAGGATAGAGGAGCTGAGGGAAGTGGCGTCACGACCAGAGTTGGCCAGCCTGATTGACGGGTTTGACGTTACTGAGCTGCAGGGGCTCCAGAGGGTTCTTAGCGATGAGGCCTGCAGAGGTGAGAGAGGCAGCACATAAAAACTGTACATAGTGCTTCAATAGCTCTGCTGTACTATAATACTTCTGTATAGTATCTGAGCCATACTTGTTGATGTATACATGTTTAAATTTGATCCTGTCAATTATCCACTTCTTTCTAAGTATGTTGGGTATGGACCTAATACTTCTATATATATATACTATAGCTGCTGCATCAGTGTTCATAGAGGAAGATGTAATGGTTGCAACACAACTCCTCGGCACCGTGAGCTACTTCCAATATGAACTACCAGATGAGGGGTTGACCCTACGATTAAACGTGGCAGCGGGACGAGTGGTACTGTATGCTTCGACGAGAATCAGGAATCCCAACTCTGCAGTCTACGACATTCGACTGGAGACAGACGCAACTGAGGATGTATTTGTGAGTCCTGATGACCTAATAATGACAGGGGTTGGCACGGCAATTGAAGGGAGGAGGAAAAGGAACATCGAGAAAGGAGAGAGGGATTCAGCAGTTGTAATGATTTTCGTGACAGTTGAAGGTCTGGAGAAGAACAACAGCTTTATCCTGGAGAGCACTTTTGGTGACACTTCCACCAGTGAGTTTAGTATTCATCAGGTTTTTCATGCATATGCCAGTGATCCCATCCATGCATATTGCCACTGACAGCTGAGTGTATAGCTAGCTAGCTAGCTTTAGACTGGAGTAATCTGCACATTTGTGTGTTTCTACGCAGCATCACAAGTCAGTTCAACAGTAAATCTGAGTGTGGCCACCCTGACATCACTACTGCCGCTGTTGCTGGCTGCCGTTCTTCGATGATAAGCAAAAAAACTCCTCCATGTGCTATTGTGTGTGCTCTGAATGAGGAGTCCCTTTGACTTGACGATTTTATGCGCATGCGCACACACTCGTAGGCGCGGCCGCTCTCGCCCCTCTAGCTCTCATCATTAGCAAGTGTTGTAGGGACCTGGTTTCTAGGTAAAGGACTTTGTTCCTGCGCTGGTTTTCCACCCCAGTTAGAGGGTGGAGAGAGATGGCGGCCCCAGGTGCTGCACCGACTGAAACACAGCCAGCCTCGACGCAAGCGCAGGGAGTTGCCGCTTTCATCAACAAAGTCTGGAGCATTCTGGGCAACGAGGAGTACGCCAAACTCATCTCCTGGTCCGAGGTGAGAGTCTGGCTGGCCTTTGTGTGTGTGTCGCGGCTACGACCTCGCGAAACCTTCACTGGGTGCGCATTAATTAGAGTACTATCACCCCTTGCAGTGTGGAAAGAACGTGATAGTGCGCGACTACCCGAACTTTTCCAAGGAGATACTGCCTCACTACTTCAAACACAACAAATTCAACAGTTTTGTGCGGCAGCTAAATCTCTGTAAGTCCATGTCATCTCAAAGCAGGTTCATAGTGTGTGCTGTGTGTGTATCTCAGACGGGTTCAGGAAGGTGTCTCATCCAGAGCAGAATGTTCTGTCTAAGGTACAGGTGAGCGAACCGGTCGAGTTCTACCACCCCAACTTCAGGAGAGGTCATCGCGAACTACTCCATCTTGTCCAGAGAAGGGTGAGCCCCTTCGATTACCTATAATCACACCGTAATCGGTGGAGGTCGATTTGGCACCATTTTGTACGCTAATTTTACTGCCAGTTTAAAACTTATAATGTCTCTATGGCTGCTGCTATTGCCAGTTTAATGTCTCTATGGCTGCCGCTATTTATGCTTTTATTAGGTGTATGTAGGTACATACATTATGTATATATGCCAGCCTTGATACATACGCAGTGCAACTTTGTTGACGGGTATAATAGTCTATACACAATACAAAGGCGTGTCTATAATATAATATATAGCCGGTGAGTGGTCGTGTTGTGACAGAGGAGAAGAGTACGGAGCTGGGTAAAGTCCTGACCGACATCCACGTCATGAAGGGGAAACAGGAGGACATTGGAGACATGCTGGAGGCCATGAAACAGTGAGTTCCCTCAGCATGAGCAGCAAGGAACTTGTTGCCTTCATTTGCGCTCTGATACACCCCGTGGTTGCCTGCTGCAGGGACAATGCTCACTTGAAGAGGGAGCTGGAATTGCTGAGACAGAGGCACACCAGACAACAGAGGGTTCTGAACAAGGTACATACATGTACCTCGACTCTCTTCCACCTTCCCTCCTTCCTCTCTTCCCTACCCCTTTACTTTTCTTTGTCGTTGTACTCATACGTATGTATGCCTGACTAACTGACTGTATAATATACAGATTATTCAGTTCTTGATTCACATGGTGTACAAGGGAAGACTACCAGCCAGTGGCAGGAGAGGAAGACAGTGAGTAAACCCCTCTTCTTATCACCTTGCACATCCCTCCCTGTTGCTACTCCTTTCCACCCTCTTCCTTTTGCCCCCTTCTCTCTTTTTTCTCACTGTTTCTTCCCTCGCCTCTCCTCCCTTTCTACATACCTCACCTCCCCTCCTCCCCTCCCCCCTCCCCTCCTCCCTCTCTCCCCCTGCTCTGGGTCCAGTGACTCTAAGTATCTAATGCTGACCGACTCTGAAGGGGCGGCTCCTCCGGCAAAGAGAGGAAGAGTGACCTTTGACCCATCAATTACCTACCCTGACTCCCCCCTCGACATTTCCAACCTTGCTGAAATTTGTGATGTAAGCAGCATTATGTACAGTTTAGACCAACATAACGTTGTGTGTAGCTTTCCATGTTTCATGTTTTTAGTTTCAAGAAGCTGTAAAGTACCGTCATGACATTGTGTGTGTGTGTGCATGCGTGTGTGTGTGTTTGTGTGTGTGTGTGTGTGTGTGTGTGTGTTTGTGTGTATATATACTGTATATACCTTTTGCTCAAATCATCAATAGTTGTGTCATTACATGTGTGTGTTTGTGTGTGATTGCAGTTGCCGATCAAAGCCGGTCAAGATTTAGGTGCAATTGACTCTGACAATCCCCTCCTCCCCCTCCCCACCATCACATCTCCCCCATCCTCACCTAATATGAACCCTCTACTGGAGGATAGATCTACTAACACCCAATACGGTCAGTATAGTGGCTCTGCAGGTTACATTGTTTACGCTATATCCAAAGCAATTCACCAAGTTTTTCTTGCAGAATTGTTGCATACTGTGACAGTTTTATCAAATGCCTATTACACACGTGGCGAAAAATCATGTGTACATCATCAGTTCAAAAATGGTGCTCCTGTTTATGAACTAGATTTACCAAATTTTTGGTGCATTACTAAAGTCCCTATGGTCTAAATTGTTAGTATTTTCCTGGATGAAACTAAAATACTACAGTGAACCTGAAACTGTTTTGAAGCTCTGTTCTCTGAAAGTGGGAAATAGTGCATAATTGTATGTACCTCAACCTACACCCTGTGTGAAGGAAGGAAAGTTTAGGTCAGTGAGTGTCTCCCGTTTGGGCTGTTGTCATTTCCTCTTCCTTGTAGTTTCCCTGGCGTGTATATAGGTATAACCCCAGTTTGCCAAAAAATTACTGCATTCGCCTTCTAGAGTGTAGTGTATTTGGATTTGTGTTTCTCTTTGCTTTTCCAAACTGTGTGTTTTCGTTTGCATACATATGTATCTTTCTGTATTCTTGAAAAACCTTTCAGCTACATTACTCTCTCATGTTCGTTGTATGTATGTGTCCCATGCAGTACTCGAGTCTGCACAGCTACCTGCACTGTCTTCTGTAGTGCCGCCCACTGGCACAACCTTACTCAGTCCACCTTCTGCACTCAGCACAACAGCCACCACCAATGCACTTGCCACCATCACACCCTCACACCCCTCCCCCTCCTCCTCCCTCTCCCCTCTCCCGTCCACATCCTTCCCCCCTGCACTCCAACACCCCAACGCACAATCTGCAGCCAATACTTCCACCGTGGAGTTTGCTGCCTACCCTGATTGGTGAGTTCCCTTCAATTAGGTCTTAATGTTTTATGTAATCTTACTCGCTACAATGGTAACATACTAGTGTAGTCTTCACGCCTCCTCCTAGGGACATCACCAGGGAATTCTATAGTACAGAAGGTCAGAGGTGTATTTATGTGTACCGAACTCTGCCATGTGTCACTAGGCTTCTTTGGGTGTGTACGAAATGTACACGTAGGGTCCTACACTATATAGTTTGCATAACAGTTTCGGGGATGGTCTTAGGGGGGGGAGGGGGGCAAGGTTTTGGTTTCTAGTATCCATACACACGATACACACACACACACACACACACACACACTCCCTGCAAAGGGCGGTGGTGGTGCGAGAGAGGGAATCCCAGTTGGCAAACACTGAATCACCTCTTGCTGTTTCTGCTACCCATCCCAATCCTGCCACTGACAGGAGCGGTCTGAGTGATCATTTGGACACCCACCAACAGGAGTTGGATTCCCTGCCCGATTTCCTCTCGAATCAACTGAGTTTCGACCCCACAATTCTCAACCAGGTGGGGGCTGCATAATGTATGCACCTGTGATCTGCATCCGAGGGGTAATTGTGTTTATAATTGTTTGTTTTTCTTCTGTGTTGCAGTTTATCAACTTTGGAGACACCACTGTGCCCAACTATGACGCAATTGATACAGCCGTAAGTGACCCTACCTCTTAGTATATAGTGTCTCACTTTTAAAGTTTTCCCCCTCCTTTTTCCTCTTCTTTCTCCCTCCTCCCTTCCTCTCTCACTACCTCCGTCTCCTATTCTCTTTGTCCTCCCTCCCCTTCTCCCTCCCCCTCTGGCAGCGTCTGTTGGAGACACTCTCCCAGGAGGATGACGGAGAGACGGCCATCTTGAGAGAGAGGTCACTGCAGACCGCTCTAGTCCCCTTCTCGTCTTCCCAATCCATCCGGGGAGGCCTGCTTCCCAGCCCACCTCAACTACTCGATGAAGGTATATATTTCTTCTCTAAGCCCATTTGTGTGTGGAGAATCCATGTAGGATTTCTCTCTTTGTGGCATTGTGCTTGCTGTTAGCTTCGGTAATCAGACTAGAATGGTTGTGTCCAAGCATTATTGCGGCATATGCGCAATAGAATTGACTGAGCTATTGTTACGTTTAACTCTTTGATAGATCATTCTTTTTGTCTTGGTTACTCCCAATGCATGGTCCAGGTGAGAGACTCACTCAACGTGCATCCTCAGAATGAATACCGAATGTTTTCGACTCTCCATAAAATTTTCTCCCCGTGTTATCCACCCACAATTTTTCTCCTCTGCAGTATATCTGTATGTACGTACATATATCCGTGCTCATTTTCTGTGATTGACTCTCTCTCCCTCCCTCTCTTCCTCCTTTCCTTTCCTATTCAGAGGACGAACAATCTTCTTCCCTAAGAGAACTACTTGAGCTCAACAAAGACACTTGACACATAATGATGCATTCAACCCCACCAATTCTCCATCCTCTGTGCAGAAAATTATACCTAAGAGGGTAAAAAAAACCTATTCCTGGAATTGTTGAGGTTCAACAGCCACATTATATACCTGTCTGGAGTTTTTGTTTTCACCGAAAGGCACTTGGAGCTACAATGTTTAAATTGAAAGTTACTTGACGCTTGAATAGTTCGAGAGTTGTAATCATGGCACGTCATTTGAAATCATGTGCGTATGGGGCATCTGGCGTGTTCAGACAAACGCTCTCGCACTGTTGTTTTTGTGGTCCCGCTGTTATGGTTTACGGTGGGATGTAAACGTGGAAAATAAACAATGGCCTGTTTGTTGATCCGTGCCCTGCTCACACTGAAAATAATGGCATCCACGTGCATAACAGTGAGCTCGGTGCTCCATACATTAGAGCACCCTCATACATCCTTATTGGACGTTGTCACACTGAAGCATAAAAGTCACGTGCAGTAAAGATCGCACTGTATGGTATTAACTAACCAGAAATGGAGCTTATGGTGGTCGCAAGTCTCTAAGAAATGGCTGTAGGCGTGGCATAGGTATCTATACCTGTCTGGCAAAACTAGCATCTGTGTTAGTACAGTATTTACCGTAGTGGGACTAATTTGTGTGTGGTAAGATGATGAAGGGAGCACGTCGTTAATTACTTGTCACACGCTTCAAAGCACACACTAGTATATATTCCTGTGGTTATGGAGGAGACTACGTGTTCTGTGTCACTGCAGCAGATTACCAGTGACATACTTCGCAGGGTTGTGGTGGGTTAAAATTACTGGAGTCTAAAGTCGAGCTGTACCTGGCGTAGCTAAAACGTTAAAGCCACCCTCACAAGTTGTAGATTTGTGCAGGGAAAACGAAAGTCTAACGTGTGCATGAATCTCCTCCAGAGCTTGTTTATCTCCTCGGAGCCTAGAGCCTGAAATGTATTCATTGACGGAGTGTAGCCCCTGTGTCCTCCGTTGTATATAGTTGGTTGTAGTTTTCCTGGTATTCGCATAATGAATACCACTATTGAATTTTGTGGATGTACTCTATTTAATCTCGTTAGAGACTATTGTGCGGGAGATAATCGGGTCATGATAAAGAGAAGGCATGGCTTGTGATACATTTGAGGTGTGCCCTTGCGCATTGCTGACGCGGCGCGTGTTTAGTTGCGTTGCGTAAACGTCTTGCGGGGCAGGCTGGCACAGTATATACTTGAGCTAAAGCATCGAACTAAGAGTGTGTTTGTTACGTGTTGCAAGACCTAGCGACATGTCGGGAGACGGCCAGGAGTTCAGCTACAAGAAAGTGACGCTCTACAAAGAGCAGACGCTGGGGACGGGATCGTACGGCATAGTGTGCAGAGCAAAATGCGATCAGCTGGTGTGCGCCGCCAAGATCATGCACAACGCCCTATTCCAGTTTTACGACCCTTCCTCCAACCTCTTGCTCACCAAGTTTCGGCAGGAGTGCAATCTCAACAGCGCCGCCAAGCACCCCAACATCGTGCAGTACATCCACACCTATATAGACCCGCAGACCCGATTCCCCGTTCTCCTCATGGAGCTGTGCGACGAGAGCCTCAGCAAGTTCCTGGACCGATCCAAGGACCACCCTCCCCCCTACCACGTGGAACTCGACCTCAGCAACGACATCGCACAGGCCCTCAGCTACCTGCACATGAACGGCGTCATTCACCGCGATCTCACCAGCAACAACGTCCTACTAATCGCCGGGTGCCGAGCAAAGGTAACAGATTTCGGCATGTCCAAGCTCATAAGCGTCAGCCCCCGCTTCACGCCGCTCAGCCTGTGCCCGGGGAACGCGCTCTACATGTCGCCCGAAGCTCTCCGCCAGCCACCGCAGTACAGCACCAAGCTGGACATCTTTTCGTGGGGAGTGCTAGCTATCCAGATTATGACGCGGCTCTTTCCGAACCCTGGGCCCCAGTTCAACACTGTGGAGGAGAGCAACGGTAGGATAATCCACGAGGTGATTCCTGAACACAAACGGAGGAAGTCGCAAATCGACTTGGTTGATCCGAACCACCCGTTGCTGGAACTTGCCATCAAGTGCCTCCACTATAACGAGAAGAGTCGACCGACTGCCGATGACTTGTGTGTGCAAATGGACGATCTCATTCAGTCGTCAGCTTACACCAAGAGCAAGCAGAAGCCGATAGCACCACCACAGAAGGAGTTAGTCCGGAGAAACACGAAGGCAGAGTTGGAGCTCGAGAAAGAAGGGGAAAAACTTCAGCTAGAACTGCAGCAGATCAGCCGGGAGCTGAGTGCGAAAGATAAGGAAGTCCGATCGGTAAACGGGAGGATGGCCCGATTAAAAGACGACCTGGAAGCAAGCAATAAGCACGCAGAAGCTGCGCTCCAGGCAGTGGCACAACGAGACGAAACCATCACCATTCTCCAGCAGAACATCGAGCAACAGCAGCACATCATCTCCACACTGCGGGCAAAACTGGACGACGATACAGTTGTTCCAAGTCCCGACATGACAAGCCCTGAGCATGTCCCAAACGGTCCCCCGATACCCCCACGCAGCAAAGAGTCCCTCTTTCTCAGTTATGACAAGGAAGAGGAGGAGGTGGTGGTTAAAGAAAGGGAGGAAGATAGTGGATACACACAACCACCACAACCTAAAACGAGAGATGCACCTCCTAGAGCGAGGGATGCGGATCCTAAAACAAAGGAAGAACCTCCTAGAGCAATGGATGCGGCACCTAAAACGAGGGAAGCACCTCCTAGAGTGATGGATGCAGCACCTAAAACGAGGGAAGCACCTCCTAGAACGATGGATGCAGCACCTAAAACGAGAGATGCACCTCCTAGAACGATGGATGCGCTACCTAAAACAAAGGAAGCACCTCCTAGAACGATGGATGCGGCACCTAAAACGAGGGATGTGCCGCCCAGACAGCCTCCGCCTAGGACCCAAACCATTATGGCCATGGCTGTGCAAGATGCGAAGGATTTGGTTAAAGAGAAAGTAATGAGGTTCACTGTTCGCAAGGGAGATAAATCCCCAGAGAAGATGGCCCGTGGTTCGGCCATCTCGCACGCAAACACCGCCTACTTTGCCTGTTTCAGCTCCAACAAGATCCACTTCTACCAGTGCCTGATGGGGCGGGACAAGTGGGGCACACTCCCGAAAACACACTGCGTGAACTTCAGCATTGTGGTGATAAACGGGTTTGTTACGACAATTGGCGGCTCGAAGAGTGTGGGAAGCGACCAGCCAACAAACACCCTCATGACCCTCGCAGCCGAGGGGAGCAAAAAGAAGTGGGTGGAAATCCTTTCGCCGATGCCCACTCCACGTCAGGAGATGGCTGTCGCCAGCACCGAGCACTTCATTGTGGTAATGGGAGGAAGGGGGAGCAGCGGAGAGCGTCTCAACACTGTGGAGGTGTACCGACATGAGAACAAGCAGTGGAGCATTGCTGGTTGCCTCCCCATTCCCCTCACACGCCCGACGGCCACCATTGTTGGGGAGGAGATATTTGTGGGGTCTGGGTCACCTTCGCATGGCACAGTCTCCAAAGACGTCTTCTCGTCCACCATGTCAAAACTCCTCTCCCCCTACTATGCTTTCCCAGCTAGCCAGTTGAAGAATACAACTGGTAAACAGCACAGCGCCTGGCGCAAAGTGGCCGGAGTTGACGCAGACCACTACAGCCTCTGCAGCCTCAACAACCGCTTGCTCTCAGTCGGTGGGCTGGAGATGTCGCACTGCAACAGCAGTGCCATTCGGAAGTACGATCCCGACAAGAACAACTGGGAGGTCGTGGGGCACATCAACCACGGGCGCTGTCTTGCTCTGGCCACTCACCTGATGCTGGACACGCTTGTCATTGTGGGAGGTTTGGGATCTGTTGGACGCGACCAAGGCACCACAAATCTAGTGGAAATCGCAAAAGTTAGCTATGCCTGAAACCCTAAAACGTGCTTTGTATCAACATTTCAGACTGTAAGGTTTCATGTATACATGTAATTTTCATGTGACGCCCCCCCGCGCCCCACCGCGCCCCACCACCCCACGGCCGGCCCCCCGGCGCGCGCCCGCCGGGCGGGGGGAGCTCGGAGCGCGCGCGCGCGATTGCGAATTACGTGTGCGCATGCGCATAAATTGAAGGTCGGAGGTCGACTGCACTTTTCGGTCGTCCTGATCCCTCCCTGGCACTCCGATGACCGAATCGGTGGAGTCAGCGACAACTGCAAGAGAAGTCAGTGGTGACAAATCGTGTAAAAGGAAGCGCAGCAGTGGAATAAACCGCGCTGATGATTCAGGACAGACGAAGAAATGCCTGCGTATGACACAGGTATCTTCGGCCGAGTCTCCGGGGTCCCCGAGTCGGAGATTTTGGGAGCTGGAGCAGCAGATGTGTCGTGAGCTCTCCGCTCTGAGCTTCAGTTCGCCCGTGACTCACATCTACAACCCCCTGGACTATGCCAGGCAGCCTCACCAGTGCTATCTGAACTCTTACGCTGACTCTCCCAAGAGGATTATGTTCTTTGGGATGAACCCCGGCCCTTTTGGAATGGCTCAAACTGGGGTATGCGCGCATCCACCTTTACCATCAGCTCCTTTATAATATTTGTGCACTGTAGGCCAGTTTGCACATACTGACCGTGTTTCTGTGTTTGCACAATTTGTGTATAGCGATCTTACAACTGGTTTATGAGACTAATTTTTCAGCTGTATATTATTATCAATTGATGTCTCCTGTTTTGCTCAGGTGCCATTCTGTGACCCCACAATTGCCACCGGCTGGTTGAAGATAGTGGGAGAGGTAGAGAAGCCCCCCACAGAACATCCCAAGAGACCTATCGTCGGTCTCTCTGGAACCAGACAAGAGGTGTCTGGGGGGAGGTTCTGGGGACTGTTTCAGGACCTGTGCGGAGAGCCGGAGACCTTTTTTGCCAACTGCTTCGTCCACAATTACTGTCCGCTCTGCTTCATGGGGTCAACGGGGAAAAACATTACTCCGCCAGAGCTCAAGTCGAGCGAGCGAAACGCTCTCCAGGAGGTGTGCGATCGCTATCTCTTACTCGTCGTGGAGCTACTGGGAGTAGAGTGGGTCGTGGGTATTGGAAAGTATGCAGAGGCCAGAGCCAAGAAGGCGCTGCAGGGGTGTGGGGGGAGAGTGAGTGTGGTCTCCATTACTCACCCGAGTCCCATAAATCCTGCTGCCAACAAGGACTGGAAGGGACTGGCCACTTCACAGCTGGACAGACTCGGCCTGCTTCACATTGTCTCGGGCAAAAGTGATAGAGACTTGTGTACAAAAATCCAGCAGTAGCATTGTGGTACACGTGGGTATGCGCATGCGTGAACTAATGCAAGGGCTGTTCTAGTTCTCCTGGCCTCCTTCGGCGTGTGTGTGAAGAGAAATGGTGTGTCCGGTACTAGAACGGGCGAGTCAGCAGAAAATCGACGCTCCCACGGAGTATCCCTACGAGCCTCTCTACCGTCCGTGGAGCTGGGTGCTGAGCACGTTTGGAAACTTCTTCATCTTCGCCGCCATCGTCCTCGTAGGCTACGCCCTCTACCGCCGGCGACGACGCAAGAGCTCCAAGAACGGGCCCGAGCCCTCCGTGAGCTTCAGGAGGGTGGATCAGGGCAAGAAGAGAGAGGGGCGGGACGACGTTCTGGTATTGGGCGCTGAGACTAGTTTCGGGAGACACCTGGTGAAACGTCTTCTCGCTGACGGTGGCTACAACGTTCACTGCCTGCATTCTTACATACCCTACCAGGAAGATAGACTCCGGGACGTGTGTTCGTACATCCAGGCCGACATATGCTGCTACGATGACATGCTTCTCTGTACACGTGAGGTGAAGGCAGTGTTTCATGCTGGAAACCTTGCCCCTCGTGACTCCTTTGGAAAGCGGGTGGATTTCCTCCACCACAATGTTAAAGGTACTGAGAACGTCGTTTGCGTCTGCAGAGAAAACGGCGTGAAGAGGCTGGTGTACACTAGTTCCGCGGCAGTAGTAGTTGGCAAAGATTGGAGCCGGAGAAACGCTGATGAAACTGCACCGTACCCCAAATCACACGGGAACGTTTACCGAGCATCTCTTGCCTCTGCGGAGCAAGTCGTGCTGGACGCCAACGGGAAAGACGGACTTTCAACGTGTGCCATGAGACTCGCCCCCGTGATTTGGAGCGAAAACGATCCCCTCATCGAAAGCCTTTTAACCCAGTCGATGCTGGTAGTTGATGGATCCGCTCACAGTGTGACGGCAGTTACACCCGAGGCTGCCGCCAGAGCCCACGTTATTGCCGACAAAAAACTCCAGAGTGGCTCTGACTCTGTCGTCGGAGGCAAGGCGTATAATCTCGGAGACAATGCTCGAACCTCGTACCGAGACCTAGTTGGTACCCTTTCATCAGACGACAAGACGATATGGAGCCAACCACCACCAACCGAGATCTCTAAGTCAGTGATGACAGTTCTCGCCTACGTCAACTACTACGGTTACAAACTGACAGGTACACTCGTCCACAACGTGACCGTCTCCCCACTCATGATGGACATACACACCACCGAACTGTCGTTTAGCAGCACCCGGGCCAAGCAAGACCTAGGCTGGGAAGAGAAGACGGAATGGCAGACGGCTGTGGCTGGTCTCGTTCAGGCCCACAAGGCCGGTAGGGAAGGAAAGAAAGAACAATAGAGAGAAAATAATACGCCTAAAAAAATGACTCCATTCTCCGTGTATTTGACGATGCAGTATTGAGTGTGTCTTTATAATTATAATTATACATACTCACACACAAAGAAAAATAAGTGGACATACAAAAGAACAGTGGCATGTCAACTGAGCCTATAGATCACCGAGTTCCTTCATCCTGCAGCGAAAAAAGATTAGGGATCAATGTGTGGACTGCAACTGCAAGGCATTATGCATGGATTAACTGCATAGTGCGAAAGAGCCAATTAAAATGTTCAACTTTTTGAGCCACATCCTCAGTTGTGGATGGGGACAGTTTATTCACCAAATAAAGATATTTTCTCTGCAGAAAGTTTTGCACTGGTGTGTTAGAATAAGGTAGCGGGGGAGGCCTTCGTACCAGTTAGACTTGTCTTTGGGCGGTCCGGTGAAGAGGGAGGGGAGAGGGTGAGGTGGGTGGGAGGGGGTGGAGGCAGGGAGCGGGGCAGGGGTGCCATCGGCTCTCAGCACCGATATACACTTCCAGTTCTCCAGATAGTTAGCTGCAGTTGGAGGTAGAAATTACAACTTCATGAGTATGACACACAAAGGCTTTTAGTATTGCGTATTGCATAATCCGAACACCCATGTGACAATACTAAATTAAGGTGTCCTTATTTGAGGGGTTAAATTGCATGCAGGAACTGTTCTTGTTGAGCCTGTGCGCAATGGAGAGGACTTTGGTTACCTTTCCAGAGTCGCACACAGCCATCGTCTCCCGATGAGGCGAGGATTTGTCCCCGTGACGTTCCAGGCCACTCTCCACACCTGTGCTCCCTGGTGGTCAAAGTGGGCCGGGTGTCGGACGTCCAGCTTTGTACCGTGGTACGCATCGGTTCTACATATATACACACCAGACAAACAGTGTCCATTTTCAGGACAAATTGAATCAACTCGTAAGTATTACGTTTAAACCTGTGTGTAACACGCATAATTTGGCTATTCTCAACATTCTGAACCGACATTGTACAAAATACGCCCTCCATCGACTCTGGAGATACTTCAGCGAAAAAATCGGCCAACTAGCAGGTTTATACATGTACGGAACCAATGCCTCTGTTTTCTAACTGCGTGCTATGAGATACGCACCCAGATGGAACGAGATGTATGATGTCGACGTCCTTAGAAGCCACGGCCAATACGTGGTAAGACCTGTGACGAGACAAACACGTCACCACACAGTGTGCTCTCTAACATATCATCACACCGTCCAAGGTTTGGAGCAAAGGCGACGTCGTGTACAGGTTCATACACAATCCCAACTATACTGTGAATCTTCTGCCATTTCCTGCAGACGATGAGAGAGATCGCTCGCAGCATCATTTGACACTGGACTGCGGCAGTTTACTGGTATATATATACCGTGTCTCCTCAGAGTAGCCAAAAATGAGTAGTTGAGTGGCGGCTGAAGTGGAAGGGTCGTCTGTTCCCACCACTATCATAGGAGAGTGCACGCTGCAGAAGGAAAGAGAGAGAAACACCGTGTGCTGGTCAAGAGATCAAAACACGTGTCAAACTGACGTGGAGGGGTTCCAAGAGAGACAGCTTGTGCCTGGCCTACAGCTCAGTACATGCTGTAGGGAAAGACGAAAATGCATAATAATTATGTGTATATACCAAGTATATATGCTGAATTGCAAAATTCTTCAGAGCCCCAAAACTTTCTAAGCATTTCCGCAACGGTAACTCCACACACTTTTGTGGCATACTCCTTTTTGCTACCAAATTGCGTAAGTTTTCTCTCATATAAGGTTCCGCTATTACTGTGCGTATGTGTGTGTAGATTGAGTTAGTGGCATACATACATTGAGAGACCACTGAGTGAGGTTCATGACGTCTGGAGCTTCGTATATCCTCAGTTGACCGTCAGTAGAGCACGATGCCTGCAGGTGGAGAGAGGTGAGAGGAAGATGACAGGACGAATGAGGAAAGTGGGAGAGGTGAAAATAGACTTGCTCACCAGCTGTAGTCCAAGGTGTCTTGGAGCAAACTTTACGTCGTTGACGGCCGTTCTACTATCCACCAGACTAGTCCTCTTCACCTGCAAAACGTGACATGGCCACCGCCTAGTTCACTCCCCCACTGGCAATCTCTAGCACAATCGAAACAAAATTAACGGGAATGTGGTACTATAGGGCTACATTTAAATGTAACTTACGTGTGGCTACTTTAATACTTACCCAGTGAGCTTCACTCTTCTGATCTCCAACTGCATTATAAAAAAGAAAAAAACTACTTGGAAGGTTTCGTGGTTGTGTGGCAAGGCTCACTCTGTTCTTCCCAGACGCCAACAGTTCTGTCGAACGAGCAGGTGGCCAGGACCTGACCAAACTCTGGATGAGCCCACGTCACTCTCCACACTGACCCGGAGTGGGTCTGGGGAGGAGGAAGACAAGGGGAAAGAGAGGTGGGAAGAGGGGGAGCATCCACAATAGAGCAGATTTGTATGGGGGGGAACTGTGGCAGCTAAAGAGGGGTGCTCAATAACCTCCCCACCTTTTGCAGAGAATGCTATCATGCAACTTCCCTTTTACAATACATTCTCCATACATTATCTCTCTCATGGTCCAGGTCACTAGATATGATACTCCGGACCATACCCTCACCTTCCATGTGGAGGTACACCTCCATTGACCGTCTTCTCCAATGTCCCACACCTACATTTTACGTATACACATACAGCCAGTAATATCCGAGAGAGAGGGGCTCACTAGAGCGATCCCTCACCTTGACGCTCTGGTCGCTAGAGCACGTGGCCATCCTCCGCCCGTAGAAGTCGTAGCTGACGTCGTGTATCAGGTCTTTGTGGTCCGTGTTGATGGGCTTGGCCTCGAACATGCTTGACGGCTGGTCTCCCTCCATCTTTCCACAGCTCCGCTGCTCATAAGAAAGCTCGAGAGAAGCATACAAGCTGAAATGGTGTGCGCTAATTGGAACAATTGTACTCGTTAATTGGAGTGTGCTGTGCGTTAATTAGAGACGTCTCTCCCTGAACTCTGGCTGGAGAACACGGAGAAGGATCTAGAGAGATGGCTTTCTCGTTATCCCTACGTCGTGGATCGTCACTCTTTCGTTATAGACGCAGCTCAGCCGCTGCTGTTAAATCGGTGAAGTGGATATTCTTTGCTCTACGCCTCAGCTAACTCACCTCAACCTGCAGCTAAACGGACGCAGTCTACACGCAACCAGCAGAGTCCTAGGGCCAGGTAGCGGTGAGTTAGAGGCTGCGTCCAAGAGAGTCACTCAGCTGTCTAAAGACCCTGGGAACGAAGCCAAGCTCAAGCTGTATGCACTCTACAAACAGGTATAAGCATTTGCCAAGGATGTTTTCATTAATCAAGAACGAAAGTTGGGGGTTCGATATGAAGACGTCATCAATAGCTAACTTCAAAGACATCTGTGTCCTATGCACTGGTACTGGTGTTTATACTCGTTTACTTACTGCACTCAGGCTACTTTTGGGTCGTGCAACAAGGACAAACCAGGTGTGTTTGACCTGGTGGGCAGAGCCAAGTGGGACGCATGGAACAAGCTGGGATCTATGGACCAGGTCAGCCAATAGTACCAGCTGCTTGAGTCAACTTTCGCTACTTATAAATTCCTTCATACACACTCCATTTCCCCGGTTGAAAAGTTCTTGCTATGAATCTCCCATATCTGAATAGTTTCACTGCTGTGTGCGGAATCATGATTTTTTTGTGCACACACACACACACACACACACACACACACACACTTACATATGCATATTTCAACAATCAGCTGTCACAATAGTATGCACATCCTGTGCCAAAACCACTATTCATAACTATTAACCCTCGGCGCGCATGGGCAGCGAGGGTTACGGTTCAAAGGTTCAAAGTTGGGGGTCTGTCTGTTTGTCTGTTACTCGACATCTCACTTCTGGAGTGTTTGTTCGTCTCACAAACGATACGACCTACTCAACGGGCAAAGAAGGTCAGAAAGTTTGTGGGGTTTTCTCTGAAAATGCTCCGTTGCAAAGCTAGAGCGCTTCAAGCATTGTACGGCTAAAGCGTAGTCGGCTATTTTTATCGCTGCGGAAAATGCGCATGCGCTTATATTTAGCACAGGCTAGCTTACCTAGACCGGGTCCGCTTGCTCTGTGTATCTTGAAGGCACAAGAAGTCACAACGAATGGCGTGTATCGACTCTCGCATGCTATCTACTACTGTAGCTAGCCCGTGTCAGACTCT